CCAATCGACAGCTGGTCAAGAGGAATTCGCCGTCGTCTTCTCGTGGAACCGACCTTCGAATCTCTTCACCAAACACTTCTACTCGAAATGAAAGTAAGCCCAACAATCCTATTTTTATGCAACTCACCCGATGTATAGAAGTTGTTTGACCTTGTTTTCGCAACTTGGTCACATTGGTAGGAAAACTTAGAGGAACGCACCCAGTCTGGAGTCCATTGTATGCATCATCATTTCCAGAGTAGGACCGTGGACGGGGTACAATTTCAGACGTTTCGACGGCACTTTAGTCGGCATCGTCAATGAGTCTCGCCGTTCGTGGCGCCACATAATAACTCGTCAAAGAGACAAGTGAAGCCCATCCTTTTGAACAAACGTGTTCTAAACATTTATAGTTGGATACCTCAAACTTAGGTTACGTACACATGAAATCTGTTCACCCTATTTCATTTAAGGTGAAGTAGGAATGGAAGTCTAATATTCTCACAATCACATGAATGGAACTGAAGTTTCAAGTGAATTTCACATATTTGCAAGAAAAAAGTTGGGTTTCGAGGGATCTCTTGTTTCATAATTGTTGAGCTTACTTCCATTTCGAGTGAAAGTTTTGCGTGAAGGGTTTCGACGGTCGATTCTACCAGAAGACAACGGCGGATTCCTCTTGACCAGCTGTCGATTGGCTTTACTGGAACATTCATGGTGAAGCTGTTTCCTTGGTAATCTTCTTCAATTCCGGTAAAAAGGTGCTAAGCTTTCCTCCGTCATGTGACGAACATCTTCAGAGCAAGGTATCATCGTCACAACCAAATTCAAGCTAACGAGTCAAGAAAACTCGTAATCAACCAAATCACTTTATATCTGATCAAAGAGGTCAGATATTGAGTATATATATATACAGATTTTAAGGAATTTGCCGGTAATTTTTCTTGACTCGTTAGATTGAATTTTTTTGTGACGATGCTAACTTGCTCTGATGATGTTTGTCACATGACGGACGAAAGATTAGCACCTTTTTACCGGAATCGAAGGAGATTGCCTCGGAAACAGCGTCAGCATGAATGTTCCAGTAGAGCCAATCGACAGCTGGTCGAGAGGAATTCGCCGTCGTCTTCTGGTGGACTCGGCCTTCGAATCTCTTCACCAAACACTTTCACTCGAAATGAAAGTAATCACAAGAATTTCACATAGCCTTGCTTCCCCAACGGTTATTCTCATCCAGGCTGTAGTTACCTTTCCATTTTTTACTTCGCCTGGGTCTTAATAACACTCCCTGCGGGACTCGAACAATGACATTTTAGCCACCACACGACAGCCACGGGTGTTAGGATTGCTGATGAAGCAAAGTTGTATTTGTTGTCAATTTTCGTTTGTAATTACGCTCATCACCATAAACGGAATAGGATGAATACAATTGAGATATATGCTCTACTCGTAGTCGCGAAATACTACTTATAAACGAAAATGTCTCCATTTTTACTGTTTTATTGATGTTGTGGCCTCTGGTAAGGTCGCAATTTCCTTTCGATTTATAGAAGTGGGTTAACTTCGTCGCAACTTGATCTTGTTGTCAGGGCGACTATGTAGAAATCAACTAGTCCGAACTCGTCTGCCATGTTAGTTGTTATGATTACCGGCATCAGATGATGGACTTGGTACATTCTCAAACGTGTCGCCGGCATCGTAGACGGCATCATCAGTCAGTTTTGTCATTCTCCACACCAAGCTACAAACTCATCAAAGAGACAAGTGAACTCGATCCCTCGACAAACGTTCTGCCGCAAACGGATGATGCCGACTACGATGCCGGCGAAACGTTTGACAACGTACCAAGTCATGACGACTACAATGGCAGACGACTTCGGACTAGGTCCGTTCCACATAGTCGCCCTGACAACGAGATTAACCGACTTCGTAAGCTTTGATGTTCAGACCCCGTAACCCGGAGAATTTTGCGTTTTGTACCAATCTATCGAGTCTTCTGTCGACAGGGTCGCAACCAATCAACGTGAACTGCGAGCCAACCAATCCCATGTTGGCCAGTTTGCCAAATAATTACCAAATTCAGGCGAGGCAGGCCCTGCTCCACCTTTCGCGTGGCCTCGATTTCTTTCACCAAGTCGACACGAGCCTCCTGCTGCTGGTGCCGCTTTCGGCTCAGCGTCTGCTCGGCGACAATCGCGATTTCCGCGCTGGCGCCCTCACCGGGATCCAGATTCCAGCCGAACCAACGTTTCTCGATGCTCTTCACGCTGTCGAGACGGCCCGACTGGGCGTCGAAGTGCAGACGCACGCCATGCGCTTGAGTGTCACGGATTCGCATCAACGTCGAGAGTCCATGCCGCACAGCGTCCGGATGCTCCGACAACTGGCGGCATTTCAACTTCTCCTTGTCCACGCTGATGCCACCGTCGGCCGTCCGGTCCGCCGCTCCACCGGCCACCAGAGCATAGAAGACCTGGCACTCGCCCGAGGCGTCCACCTCCAGGCCGGACTCGAAGCCGGCGTTGAAGTTGACCAGACTGACGAGACCCTTCAACAGGTTGACCCCAGCCCCGTCCGTCCGACTCGACGGCTCGACAAACAGTCGGTCAACCAGACCGTCGGCACCGCGAACCGCCAGACAGTGGATCGGCTCTCCGGCAGGTCGGGGCTCGAACCGGATGTGCATCAGCTGGCCGCGGTAACGGTCCAAGACAGTTGGTTGTCGTGGCAACCGGCCAGTGGTGTCCGAGTCGAGAGTGGTGATGTGGACATCGGCAGTGACGACGAGCAGAGGGGCCGTTGAGTTGGTGAGGCCAATCGAGACTGTGTATTGAAGGGAGGTCGAGTCAAGACTGGCTGTATCATAGTCGGTGTCCGAGACGAGGGATGCAAGGCAAGCGTGGGAGAAAAGAGCCACGAGGTAGCAACCGACGCGAAATATCATGTGGATGTGGTAGAATGGCCAAAGGACACGACCAACCAATCCCGACGTATGCAACCGGTCTTTGTAGTTGTCACCGTTCGGGTCAAGCGATGAATGGACGAGGAGCCAGTGTTTGCCTAAGGCTGAAATGCCTACTGGACGGTTGGGTGAGGGACATTCGAGACCAATGGCAGTGCAGATGTGTCGGTCTGTACACCGCCTTGACTGCTATTGGCCAAGACAGTGTATCTACCCCATTCACGAATTAGATCGATATGTGCCTGACCAATGGAGGCTGCACAATTGGTAGATGTGATTCCGGTGCGGGTGAAGCAAGTGTGGCCAGTGCTTCCGGCAGTTCCGATGTTAAACGGGCATTATGGGTTGGTGAATTTGTTACGAAAGAACTGCATCTCAACGTACTTTTGACAGGTTCTTGTTGACTTCAGGCGTCTCTACGATGCTGAAAGTGCAAAAAAATGTATTCTCTATAATCGGAATTTTCGTTATTTTGCTCATTTTTATTGCTTCTGACCTTCTTACAATTGCCCATACCCTTACAATGTACGTAACACCACCAAGTGTAACTTTTGGGTCATATCTTCGCTCCCACACATCAACTTTTGAAGGTGGATCACCGCTCGGAGATCCCATTTCGTATGGCTCAGCAAGTTTCTGTAAAGCTGGCGGGGATCAAGAGTTGGAAACGTCTAGAAAAGTTTTAGTGCAGAAAATGTGTCCATTGTCCAAGCTCCTGATACTAATTCTCTGCCAAAAGTATAGGAGAATAATATGAAATAGCATAAATGTTTAATGATTAAACACCAATTTTTAGAAACTTTGCCCATACGCAACCCGAAAACCAGCGAGCTGGCTGTAGGCTGTCGTTGCAGGGTTGACAAACCACCTGAGGACTCAGCATATCGGGAGTTGTTCCTGTCTTTAAGTCACCTTAATTTTAGGCTAATTAGTTTCCGAGACTGTAATACATTTTCGATTAACAACTTCGTCGGCCTAAGTCGTGTAAAGTGAGTTAATGACTGACAATGGGGTTTTTCACAATCAACCGAATAGGCTTTTTGTGCCATTGCATTTCATTTGGCAGCTTCTGCTACGCTTTAAGCGAGCCAGGCCGCTTTATTCCCCCTCAAGAATTACGGATAGTCTCAACAACTACTTATATCAAAAATAAGTAATATCATCGATTATAATGGCAAACACATTTGCTCAATTGACACTGCCCTTTGACCGACCAGTACCCGTAGTTGTATAGATGTGTGATAACGTCTCCACAAAAATTGCGACTAAATAACAAATCTTATTTGGGGTACAGAGGAAGCCTAGGCAAGGTTGGAACAGTGATCCAGTTCAGCCGACATGTTAGATCCAATTAGGAGGAAAGGCTAAGGGTGATAGAAATGGCATAATGGCACTTTTTCATCTTATCGTGGGAAAACTTAAATAATAGTCTCTTAGTCTACTTAATTGAACTCTTATTTCGAGGTATTTCATTGCATTTATTCCAATTAGAATGATGCTAAATGCTGTTCAGGATCATTAATTCGGAATATTATATCATCGCAATATAGATTATATGAATTATAACATGCATTCATCGTATGCATCAAATATTATGCGATAAAAAGTTAGCTAAAACTTTAATTTAAAATTTTTTTAAAAAAGCTATTCACTAAGTTGGATATAGATTGAAAAGAAAACCGTTGATTTAACACTAATTAATATGCATATTTGTGTGTATTACAAAGGCTGCTAGCAAGACGAAAATGTATCAGATGAGCTGGCCTGACAAAGTTATAGAAGTGGGATGACTTCGTTGTCGCAACCTGGTCTTGTTGTCAGGGCGACTTGGTAGAACGCAGCTAGTCCGAAGTCGTCTGCCATAGTAGAAAGTGAGTGCTGCCATTCTCCGCGCCAACCTACGAACTCGCCAAAGAGACAATTGAAGCCAATCCCTCGACGAACGTTCTGCCAAAAACGGTTACAGTATCACTCCTCTTTTTGTCCTGGTCTATCTATCTACTCTTTACACTCTTATCCCACCGCCGCCCTATCACAACTTCACATTTGCTTAAATTCATGCGAATCAAAGTTGGGTTGCATAATGGTTGAGCCTACTTTCATTTCGAGGGAAAGTGTTTGGTGAAGAGATTCGAAGGTCGGTTCCTCTTGACCAGCTGTCGTTTGGCTTTACTGGAACATTCATGGTCTTCTTGTGGAATCGACCTTTGAATCTCTTCTGCAAACACTTTTACTCGAAATTGAAGTGATCTCAACACACTTGTTCACACTTCACTCGGCAAAAGGTGTGCCCTTTTTGGCAAGTTTAGTGTGGCTTCATCATCACACTTGCTATGCATCCTTTCTTTCGATCGAGCCTCGAATTCGGATCCCCTCATCGTCTCGTAGATCCGTTCCTTTCTTTTTGGTTGACCGATTTCACTCGTTTCCATTCGCCGTGTGCATTTCACTCTAGACGCTATTTCTCAAAGCCCAAGAAGCAGGTACATTGCCGGATCACAGAACAGAGCGCCTAGACTGTGATTCCCATGCTTGCACATCTCAGGCCTTCCCTTCACGGGTCGTCTCCTTCATTAAACCCACGTTATCTGAGCAAACTGTGGACGCCTATCTCTATTTACATGCAGCATCTCAAGTGGATTTCCAGTACATTTTGGCCATAACGTCGAATTTCTGTGACGGTTGTCTTTATCCGTCTGCCCAACGCCTTGACTGCCAGGCCCCCAAAGTTGTACTGGTCCATTCGAAATGGACATCA